GATTGCAGAGGGACACGTGCATCATCTCGCTGTCGCTGACGGAGCCTGGGGAGGTGGGCTGTGGTGTGGGCAGCCGCTGGTTTGAGGTCAGCCGCCCCGAGGAGGAGGAGGAGGAGGAGGAGGATCAGGAGGAGAGGATGAGGAGGAGAAGGAGATGAGGAGGAGGAGGAGGGTGGGAGGAGGATCGGGGGGGGAGTCGAGTCGGGGTCGGAGTCGGAGGGGGGCGGAGGAGGAGGAGGAGAGGAGGAGGAGAGGAGGAGGCGAGGAGGGAGAGAGGCGGAGGAGCAGGAGCAGGAGAGGAGCAGGAGGAGCATGAGTAGCAGGAGAGCAGGAGGAGGGGGAGGAGGAGGAGAGGGAGGATGAGGAGGAGAAGGAGGAGGAGGCGCTGGAGGAGAAGGAGGAGGAGGAGCAGGGGGAGGAGGAGGAGGAGGAGGAGGAGGAGGAGGAGGGAGGAGGAGGAGGAGGAGGAGGAGGAGGAGGAGGAAGGAGAAGGCGGAAAAACGCAGGTGGAGTAGGGAAGCAGGAGGAGGAGCAAGAACAGAGGAGGAACAGGAACAGAAGAAGCAGGAGGAGGGAGGAGGGGGAGGAGGAGGAGGGGAGGAGGTGGGAGGAGGAGGATGGAGGAGGAGGAGGAGGAGGCGGAGATGGGGGAAAACGAGGAAGGAGGAGGCGACTACTACTACTACTACTACTACTACTACTACTACTACCACTACTACTACTACTGCTACTACTACTGCTACTACTACTCCTACTACTACTACTACTACTACTACTACTACTACTACTACGACTACTACTACTACTACTACTACTACTAGTACTACTGCCAATAATAATAATGATAATAATAGTAATAATGCTACGAATACTAACAATACTACTAATCATAATCATATCAGTAACACTACTACTAATACTAATACTATGATGATGCTGATGCTACTGATGATGAGGAGGAGGGGAGGAGGGGGAGGGGAAGGAGGAAAGGGGAGGCGGAGGAGGAGGAGGGGGAGGAGGAGGAGAAGGGTGAGGAGGAGGAATAGGAGAATGAGGAGGAAGAGGAGGAGGAGGAGGAGGAGAAGGAGGAGGATGATGATGATGAGGAGGAGAGGGAGCATGATGCTGCTGCTGATGATGATGCTGATGATGCTGATCCTGATGATGATGCCGATGACGATGATGGTGGTGATGCTGATGGTGATGATGCTAATGCTGATGCTGATTATGTTGACTGTGACGATGCTGGTGATGCTGATGCTGATGATGTTGCTGATGCTGATGCTGATGCTGCTTATGATGATGATGATGATGATGATGATGATGATGATGATGATGATGATGATGATGATGTCGATGGTGATGATGATGATAGCGATGCTTAGTGTCATGCTAATGATTTTGATGATGTTGATGTACATTATGGTGGTGATGCTGTCGCTGATGATGATGCTGGTGCTGTTGATGTGGTTGACAATTCTGATGATGGTATTTCTGCTGATTATGATGATGCTGATGCTGCTGCTGATGATTTTGACGGTGATGATGGATGAGGATGATGGTGTTGATGATGATGCTAATGATGCTGATGCTGATGCTGATGATGATGATGATGGCGACGATGATGATCATCATGGTGATTCTGATGAGGGTGATGCTGCTGCTCATGATGATGCTGATGGTGATGATGATGATGCTTACGATGCTGCTCATGATGCTGCTGATGCTGATGCTGATGCCGACGGTGATGCTGATGCTTATGCTGGTGCTGATGCTGCCGATGATGCTGATGATGCTGATGATCATGCTGCTGCTGATGCTGATGCTGACGATGATGCTGATGATGCTGATGATGGTGATGATGATGCCGATGATGATGATGCTGCTGAGGCTGCTGCTGCTGATGATGATGATGATGATCATGTCTAGGATGATGCTGCTGGTGATGATGCTGTTGAGGCTGATGATGCTGCTGACGATGATGCTGATGTTGATGATTATGATGATGATGTTGTTGATGATGATGATGTTGCTGCTGATGCTGATGCTGACGATGATGCTGATTATGATGCTGATGATGCTGCTGATCATGCTGCTGCTGATGAGGATGCTGATGATGATGATGATGATGCTGAGGAAGAGGACGAGGAGTAGGAGTAGGAGTAGGAGTAGGAGTAGGAGTAGGAGTAGGAGTAGGAGTAGTAGTAGTAGTAGTAGTAGTAGTAGTAGTAGTAGTAGTAGTAGTAGTAGTAGTAGCAGGAGGACGCGGAGGAGGAGGAGGAGGAGGAGGAGGAGGAGGAGGAGGAGGAGGAGGAGGAGGGTATTGGGTTGGAGGAGGGAAACGGGGGAGGAGCTCAATCTACTCGGCCAGCCTCTTCTTACAGGCCAGCCGGGCACGTACTCCCTGTACTGCGAACTCGCCCCTATTGCCCTGCCCATCGCTTGTGCGCAAGACCTCCTCTTGGCAACTTCGGCTAGACACTTCGAGGACACCTGAAACAGGTAATCCTCCAGACCGTACGCCCACCGGGCACTTGATGATTGTGATTATGATGCTGATGGTGATGATGTTGGTTGAGGTGTTGATGACGATGATGATCATGATGATGAGGCGGCTGCTGATGATGATGATCGTGCTGATGATGACACGGCTGCTGGTGATGCTGCTGACAACGATGCCGCATCTCCTGCTGATGATGATGCCGATTTCGATGGCGATGCTGATGGTGATGGTGATGATGATGGTGGTGGTGCTGGTAGTGATGCTGATGATGATGCTGACGATGATGCTAAAGCTGATGCTGATGATGGTGATGATGAGGATGCTGCTGATGATGATGGTGAGGATGCTGATGCTGATGATGATGATGCTGACGCTGGGGATGATGCTGATGATGCTGATACTCATTGTGATGATGATGCTGATGCTGATACTGATAATGTCGATTCTGAGGATGATGTTGCTCCTCATGGCAATGATGGTGATGCTGATGTTGAAGCTGCTGCTGGTGGTTGTGATGTTGATGATGCTGCTGATGAGGATACTGCTGATGTATGATGGTTCTGGTGATGCTGATGCTGAGACGACGATGATGATGCTGATGGGATGCTGGTGATACTGATGAGGATTCTGATGCTGATGCTGATGACGATGATGATGATGATGATGATGATGATGATGATGATGATGATGATGATGCTGATGCTGATGCTGATGCTGATGATGATGATGATGATGATGATGCTGATGCTGCTTATGCTGATGATGCTGATGCTGATGATGATGACGATGATGATGATGAGGAGGAGGAGGAGGAGGAGGAGGAGGAGGAGGAGGAGGGGGAGGAGGCGGCGGATCAGGGGGATCGGGATGATGAGGAGGATCGGGAGGATCGCGATGATCAGGAAGAGGAGGATGAGGATGATGAGGATGATGATGATGCTGACGATGATGATTCCGATGTTGCTGATGGGGGTGATGCTGATGACGATGATGATCATGAGGAGGATGAGGAGGAGGAGCAGGGAGATGATCATGCTGATGATGCTGATGCTGATGCTGCTGCTGCTGCTGCTGATGATGATGATGATGATGATGATGATGATGATGGTGAGGCTGACGATGATCATGATGCTGATGGTGGTAATGATGATGATCATGATGCTGATACTGATGGCGTTGATCATGGTGACCATGCTGATGCTGCTGATGATGATGCTGATGATTATGCTGATGTCGATGATGATGCCGATGGTGATGATGATGCTACTGATGACGTTGATGCTGATGCTGCTGATGAACATGATGCTGATGACGTTGATGATGGTGACGATAATGCTGATGCTGATGCTGCTGGTGATGATGGTGATGATGCTTATGAGGATGACGAGGATGATGCTGCTGCTGATGATGGTGATGCTGCTGATGATGCTGATGCTGATGATGCTGATGACGTTGCTGATGCTGATGATGACGATGCGGATGATGATGATGATGGTGGTGATGCTGACGATGATGATTCTGATACTGTTGATGAGGATGATAATGATGATGGTCATGAGGAGGAGGAGAAGAAGGAGGAGGAGGGGGCTGATTTTGCCGATGATGATGCTGATGCTGATGATGATGGTGATGCTGACGATGATGATGCTGATGCTGCTGATGATGATGATGATGATGGTGGTGGTGGTGGTGATGATGATGGTGATGATCATGATGATGATGATGATGCTGATAGTGATCATGATGCCCATGCTGATGCTGCTGATGATGAAGATGCTGCTGATGATGATGCTGATGCTGATGCTGATGATGATGATGATGATGATGATGATGATGATGATGATGCCGATGGCGATGGGGATCATGATACTGATGCTGATGCTGACGACGATGATGATGGTGATGATGACGATGCTGATACTGATGATGATAGTGATGCTGATGCTGCAGATGGTAATGCTGTTGATGATGGTGATGTTGCTGATGAAGGCCGTGCTGATGATGATGTTGATGACGATGATGCTGCTGCTGATGATGATGACGACGCTGACGACGAAGATGACGATGTTGCTGATTGTGATGATGCTGATGATGATGGTGATGATGCTGATGCTGATGATGCTGATGAATATCGTGCTGTTGATGATGCTGCTGATGATGATGAGGATGATACAGGGGATACTGATGATGTTGATGATGGTGATGATGATGCTGATGCTGCTGCTATTGATGATGATGATGATGGTGATGATGGTGATGAGGATGATGATGAGGATACGGATGCGGAGGAGGAGGAGGGAGAGGAGGAGGAGGAAGAAGATGACGAGGGGAGAGAGGAGAAGGAGGAGGAGGACTATGATGATGCTGATGACGATGGTTATCAGGATGATGATGATGATGATGATGATGATGATGATGATGATGATGATGCTGATGATGATGATGCTGATGCTGATGATGCTGAAAATGATGACGATGATGGTGATGATGATGATGATGATGGTGATGCTGACGATGAGGATGTTTCTGGTGGTGATGATGATGGTGATGATGATGGTGATGATGATGGTGGTGGTGCTGGTAGTGATGCTGATGATGATGCTGGCAATGATGATGTTATTGATGGAGATGACGCTGATGATACTGCTGATGATGGTGATGACGATGCTGATGCTGATGATGAACATGCTGAGTCGAGGCTGGTTATGACGATGGTGATGATGCTGATGATGGTGATGCTGCTGATGCTGATGCTGAACATGACGATCCGATGATATGGTGATGATGGTTATGATGATGATGATGTTTGATGATGATGCTGATGATGGTGATGCTGGTGATGATGCTGCTGATGACGATGATGGTGATGATGCTGCTGATGATGCAGCTGATGATGATGCCGACGATGATGATGATACTGATGATGATGTTGATGATGATGAAGATGATGATGATGATGATGATGATGATGATGATGATGATGATGATGATGATGATGATCATGATGATGCTGATGCTGATGCCGATGATGCTGCTGATGCTGATGCTGATGCTGATGCTGATGCTGATGCTGCTGATGCTGCTGATGATGATGACGATGATGATGATGATTGATGATGGTGGATGATGATGATGATGATGATCATGATGATGATGATGATGATGATGATGATGATGATGATGATGATGATGATGATGATGATGATGATGATGATGATGAGTTGATGATGATGATGATGATGATGATGATGATGATGATGATGATGATGATGATGATGATGATGATGATGATGATG